ATGTATTTAATTAATTGAGAACTTCGGAGATTTTGTGTGATTTCGTTTGAAATTCGTGATTTCTCGAAAACCGGAAGTGCTACGTTACTCAAATCCGGTTTGTAGTCTTATCAGACTTTTCTCAACTTATAACTTAAACATTCTCTTTATCTATCTCTTACGGTTTGGCCGCTGAAACAGCACCACAGACAGACGGACGGACGGACTTGTCTAATAGATAAGAGATTATTTTCTAAATCTTAACACCAGCTGTTTTAGGAATTTGAGGGTTTGAATTCGTCCTGTTAGTGTGACATAGAATAGGTTTATATTTCTTTCAGGCTACGTTTAGATCACGAGATCTAGCTTAGATATAACAAAAGTATTCAACGGAGACCATCTATGATCAAGACATTCTACGAGCACATCCCGGTTACCCATTGAAACACAGGCTCTCCACTGTAATGAATAGAATAAAATAAACCTTTATGCGCTGAGCTCTCCGACTTGACTTATGTCTCCAGCTGCCAGCTGCATGCCACTTCTATGAAAAGATTGAATACTTTTCATCTATGTGTATATCTTTAACTTTAATAAATTCAAGTACGTTGATTCTTTTTCCTGCCTATATTTAAGCATCATTATATGCTACCTATTTATTTTTAATATCAATAATTGGAAATGTAGACTTGTTTAGTGGTGCTCGGATATCATTGGATCATATTGCATTTATTGTGTCAATGCTTAGGTCATTACTCTTATATTTTTTAAGTTAGACTCTAGTTAATAATAATTACATTAATTATGACTATGGGCATGTTGTATGAGTATCAATTGCTATTAGTATGCGACTAAAAGCTGCAATATTCTTAGTTGTAAGTATTGTATAAGTGATTCATAAAAAAATGTTTTTTTTTTCATAAAAAATTGTTTATAAAATTAACCACAGCGATTTCTCATTATTACTTAGTTCATTAAATCTCCGATCATACTAGTTGTTAACAAAATAAAAAATATAGTCCGCCATGGGTAGGTCACGAATATTTTGAACCTCCGTATCTTAAAGCGATAACCCGAGATTGAGTGGCCTCGTTACAAGCTAAAATTATAATAAGTACCTACTATATACCCGTACAAAAATAAGAAAAACCACAGCCGATTCATTAAAAGTTGGTAATTGGGCGAACCTCAATAAAACTCAGTGTAAGGGGAAAATTATTCCCATGACTGTTACTTGATTTAAACACCATTTTCGTTAGTGATTTTAGTTCTAAAAATATATCAATTAAGTACTTTATGTTTTTATTTATTTTTAAGCATTTAACTGCTAGATGTTTAATTCTAAAGAAAAGTTTACTAGAAAAAAATCCACGCGGTCCAGGCAGCGGACGGGACTCGAACCCGCACCCTTCGCAATCCGGGCGAATGCACTGATCATTATGCTACCACGGCCCTATTCGCCGCGTCGAAATTTTCCTAGCCTTAAGCTTCAAGGCAGCGCCATCTCTTCGCATTGTAGGTAACCCACAATGTCAAATGAATACTTTTTCAAGTATTAAACATTTGAAAGAAGAAATAGCAATTATAGTTGTTTTTATTTATTTTTAAGCATTTAACTGCTAGATGTTTAAATCTAAAGAAAAGTTTACTAGAAAAAAATCCACGCGGACCAGGCAGCGGACGGGACTCGAACCCGCACCCTTCGCAATTAAGTACTTGTGTAAGTATTTAGAAATTATAGCAATCAAGATCTTATATACTTGGGTGATACCAAAATGCGATTTGAAAGTACCTGTCGAAGACACATCAATCACCCACCGGCATCTTAGAATCAGATAATGAAAGAAGGTTGCAATAACAAATACCTACATGGGCCATATCTATATAGTGTTGTGTTCATAATAATAAGTTGCCATGAATTACCTCCGGCTGTCAGAAGACCACAGTAAAATTATACCACCTCTTGGTGGTGTCAGTAAGGATTCAACGGAAAAGGGGATGGAGCTTCAACTAAACAATGAAAGAAATATATTATTTCAGCTATAAGGTAGATTTAATGCAACGATATTAAATACCCTAGATAGACCACGTGCGCTCAAATGGGTCCCTATCAAGAAGTGCTTAAACACGACTCAAGCACTTCTTGGTTCACAGTCACAGGCGGACCGTGGAAAAGTCAACATAAATAAATAAATATTTCCAACACTCACACCAATTAGCCTAACCCCAAAGTAAGCACTATAAGGCTTGTGTTATGGAATACTAGGGTAACGGATAGAATACATATACTTTACATATATAAGTATATTTATATAGAAATACATATTAAACATCCATGACTGGAGTACAAATGCTCGTGTTCATCACACAAACATCTGCCCCCACCGGGATTCGAACCCGGGACCTCTCGAGTCGGCGACGCCATGAAACCCGGCGTACAAACCACTCGACCACGGAGGTCGTCTGCCGCTGAGCTCCGTGAAAAAATGCGAAATGAATACTTATAGTATGTAAAATGTTGTTTTTTCGACAGATATCTCATCAATGTTTGTTAATTTTACGCATTTAAAGCAAATTTTGTTTTCATACTTACTAGAAACTGGTTTAATAGAAAATATTTGTAATATTCAAATGCATGGTCGGTAATACAGCCGTCTCTTTCCTCTCGGTCCGTACCTGCTGTATTGCTAATAGCGCATTCAGAATTGCTCGTAGATTCAAAGAAATAAGGTCTATATTCTTCCGCATATAAGCATAGCAATAAGTCGTAAAATTTTAAGACCTTATGTAGTGTACTTTAAAGGTGATTTTCAATGTTTAAATAATGACTTATATTGTTTAGACTATGTGATTATCTTACGGAGCTCCGTGGATCGTCCAATGTACCTTTTGGACAGGTTTCGGGCATGATTTTGTTCGTGTTGGTTGGGTCAAAGGGGCCTGGGCCGTTGCGGATATCGCGAATAGAAAAGACGAACATGTAGATTGTAGGTGTGCTCCCGATACATTTAACATGTTTTCGCAGAATTAATGTGGTTTGAAGTGGGTCGGGTAGTTCTCGTCCAGAGACGCGCCGAGTGTTACGAGCAGTTTTATGACCGGCCGCACCAGGACGACCCGTTCCATTTGTATTTCTAGCATCCATCACCTGGATAGTTTAGCGTTCACCATACACCACTGCCTAATGGTGTTCGTCTTAAAATTGTCCTCTAGTAATAACTTTTTTTAGATAGAAAAATCAATCACATAAATGCTTTGGTTGACGACCTCCGTGGCCGAGTGGTTTGTACGCCGGGTTTCATGGTGTCGCCTTCTCGAGAGATCACGGGTTCGAATCCTGGTGGGGGCAGATGTTTGTGTGATGAATACGAGCATTTGTACTCCAGTCATGGATGTTTAATATGTATTTCTATATAAATATACATATACAGTATATGTATTCTATCCGTTACCCTAGTATCCCATAACACAAGCCTACAGTGCTTACTTTGGGGCTAGGCTAATTGAGTGTTTGCAATATTTATTTATTTATAAGTGAAAATGTAAGTAGTAAATAGACACTATGTTATAATGGATGGTATTCTCGAGAAAATAAATACCCATACGTTTAAAAGCTCGAGTGAACAGACTGTATATGGACAAGCACGGGCTATCTTAGGCGGAGGCAAGTCTTGTTATTATATAAAAAGACTTTATTGTAAACTATAGTCTTTTATCAATACATATTGGTACGTTATCAAACATTGATAAACTCTGGCAGCCAGAACGGCAATGAATATCATTCCATAGTCTGCACGCGTCATTTAAGTAAATATAGTTGTTAGGTATCAAAAATTAGCAAAATTTGCAAAGTATATAAAATTCAAAGTAGGTCAGTGAGCGCATATATTTCGCGTGCGTTTGCGCATGTCGGGCGCTGGACGGAAGCGCGCATGTCCGCCGATAACGCTGACCCGAAGATAAAAATGTTAAAACGAGCTTTTTGTGCCGCCAACCTCACTGTGCTTTATCTCCCTCCATTGTGGACTATTAATGTCTTTAAGTTTGTTCTGAATTGAATAATAAATCTTTAGACTTTCTGCCGAACATCGTTATTGTATTAAAATGGGGCTAATGTCGATGGCTGAACTCGAAAATATAAAAAAAAAAAATAAAAAAAAAAATACACAGGTAAAAATTTATCTGTATGATATCGTATTATACGGACAAAATAAAGAGTTAACTTGTGTTAATTGGTTTAATGTGACGGATGGCATCTCTCTCTATTTGATTGAGTATTAATTTATAGAACAGTTAAGTTTTATCCGAGTTTTGAAGTTGACAGTTGCTAGTTTGAATTTAATAAGTAAATTTTGAATTGATTCTAGCTTTCAATAAAAAATCGCAAAATTATTAGTTTACATAATTAAATTAGATAGAGTTTTCTAATATAAATAATAAAATGATGAAATTATTTGTAGTAAGGTATCTTAGGAATTTCTAGATGACGACATCTGAATCCCGGTGCATCTGCTGTATATGTAAACAACGGCGGGCACACAACACACGACAAATAAATACAACAGACGTCTTGTTTAACTTCAACACATCTCGTCATTAAAGACTTTCTTACACAAACATTTCTTTTAATAGTTACCTTATTATTCCAGAAGGAACATTGGACGCAGTACGCACATAAAATTTAAAAAGCTTCGAATTTTATTATAAATAGGAAAAAATAATCTGTTTTATAGCTTTATATTAGAAAACTAGACTGCCATAAAACAAAACAAGACCTTACCATCGATTCGGTATAAAATTCCCGATTCCTGAAACCAGTTCTTAGCAAGGAGCAAAACATTTCTTTGACCGACAGACGTTCACCTTTGAGGAGAACAAGTAACTCCCAAAACAAAAAAAAACAAATTTTATTTATTTAAGGATTATTTCCGCAATATGGCAACTATAATTATAAATCTGACAAATATTTTAGTCAAAATAAACATTACGTTTTTGAAAGTAGCAACAAAAAAATTACTTACGGTAAACGCGTGGTGCCGACGCGATCCCGTCAGCCCGAGTATGAGTGTGTGCTGCGAACTGTGCGCTCCGAGAGTCCGAGCCAGGCCGCCTCGACCCGACGACTAGCTCCGCACCGCGGACTCACTCACCCGTGCCTTTCCGTCCGCGCACCACCGCCACAGAACACTGGAACCTACTTAACGCGAGCTAACTAGATCATCTTCGCCTGCTTGTGTCAGATTAGTCAATCAAAAGCAAAGTTGTAATTCATTATAGCACTCGGATATATCAAAGCCAACTGCCAAAATTAATTAAATGTACTTACGATATGCCCTTAGTTAGCGAGACTTGCTCTTAGCTTTCTGTACTAGATAGTACGTCACCAAAATTAATCATTTATTATCATGATAGTTAAGCCAATTTGGTCGATTCTACTGTGCTTCCATTCCTTACTACTACTTGGATGGCTTTCACGCAAAAACTACTGAACGAATTTAGATGTTTGATACGCATATAGTTTATGTCATAAAGTGAGACATAGGATACCTACTTCTTTTAAAAAAAAATTAGCTTCCTGTGGGATCTCAAAATACTAAAGATAACGCGGGATAAGTCGCGGATGGCCGCTAGTATTGATAAAAAATAAACAATTCTCATATTTTTGAAAGAATGTGCCTGAGGAATGTACAGTCATACTGATAGTCGGTACACATGATGTCATCATTAAGCATCAAAACAAGATAAAGCTCAAAGTTAATTGGAGATTAAATTTGTCAATTCTGGAAAAGTTGACCTTCCAAGTAATATTTTCTGAAGGTGTAAGTTCTGACGAAGGCCTTTTAATCTTATAAAGGACGTAAATGAGGTACTGCCTTGCTGGAAGTCTATATTTAGGCAAAATCAATTACAGGAGATTGGTCAAATTGGCCTAAATGCAAATAAAATATTGACATATACAGTAATTCTTGGCGTAATTTATACTTTATTTTACAGTCATTAGATTTTAACGGCCACCTTTAAATAATATATTAATTTTGAAAAAGGACTTCTATTTTTACCGGTTTGGAAAACATACGAATCATTTTTATTGGCTATGGGTGTAGTAACATTCACAAAGACTGATCGAGGTTGTTTATATAACATCAAAACAAATCTATTTTGTAAAGATTGATAATTTTTTTTTTTTATTACACGGGTGGTATTAATATCCACAACTTTATTATCATTTTTACTACATGCAAATGTGCTAAGACAATTAATATAGATGGTAGGCGACATCATAAAGTCTATTGCCGTACATTTTTTGCCAAACACCTAAATAAACACATTATAAGGTGTGATACACTAAAAATCTAAAATATGGTTATAATAAAAACATAACAAAAATAATGAAGCTGCTGAAGATATGGCTGTATAACCTACAGCTCTTAGCTTTCTTTGATTAACGAGAGTTTAAAAATTCTCTCTAATCTGTGGCTCATTCACAGTCATCACACAGTTTCTGTTCGTGTTTTTAAAAACATGCACATATCTGTTATTTTACATGCTCTATATACCTGAATCTAATACATAATATCGGTAGGTACTTGGCTTGATTGCCCTATTTTCCTATATAAGTTATTTGGTTTTTATTATTCTAATACCTATGTGCCTATTTGCAAACATAACCTCAAAATCATTCAGTGTATACGGTTTATAGAAGTTCTCGGGAGTGGCCGTCGATAATATTCGTTTCTACGGTAATTTATATATAATTTCGAATGTAGGAAACAATTTTTCATGGTTATTGGTTTTTAGGCCAAACATGTATGGAAGCTGAGCAATCTCCTTTGGCGAACATTATCAGAACCAATAAGTTTAAAAATCATAACGGTATTTTAAGCAAAAAGCTATAGCAACGTTGTATTTGGTTCAATTTAAAAACCAAAGGTTTTCAGACCATACCTAGTTGTTCTATGTTATCAATAAAAATAAGATCACTCACTGTCTTCTCGACTGTCAAACTTTTTGTGAAACTTTGGTGAAAAACAAGTGAGCACTATACATACCTACGCAATTAATCTTAAGGCTATTATTTTATTTCATAACCATAACAATAGGTAGACCGCTCAACTGAGTCCTCGCCTGCGGGGTACAGGGTGTGGGGGAGGACGAGAACGGGGGCCGTGAGGTGCGGGCGGCGGGCGCTTGTAATTTTGAAAAGAATTTGTCTCCCGCTGCACTTCTCACGGACCTGTTCTCGTCCTCTCCTACACCCGAGGACTCAGTTAAGCAGTATTTTGGATTAAAATATTTCCTTTGGGACTATTGTACAGTAATTTAGCTATTGACTTCTTAGTAGTTTGTTTACACGACCCAATTTAAGATCAGTTTGAGACTTTATTTAAACCTACAGGTGATACCCGGGCAACGAATATTTGGAGTGGAGATACAAAAGAAAAAAAATATGACGGGTGCACTCCGGGAGTGCCGGCAGAAGTGAAAACTTGAATATTAACGTTGTGCATTTTTGATAGTTTGGAATGGTTAGGGAATAATTTTGCACGAATTGCTTTAATTATAAGTATAAAAGTACTATCCTTTATGTGGTAGAATAGAATATTTATTTATTGCGCTATCGTACACAAACATGACAATTTATATTACATTAAAAAAGTTCTCAGAAATCAACTTACATGGATCACGTTTAACCGCAATTAGCGACATCTATTGTAAAACAATGCATTTTCTTCGCAATAAAGCTGCCACCTGGATGTCCTTGATAGAGACTAATTATTATAATACGATAAAATAAAATATAACTAGGTATTTTTTATCGAGTCCACAACCTATCCAATTTTATTGTTTTCGTCAGATCCCCGGTCAGGCCACGTATCACGACGAGATCAGCCCACGTGTCCTGACGCGAGTTTAACCTTTTATTACCCATACAAAAAAAGGGTACAACGCCGCTAAAGAAGTTTTCACTTCAAAAAAAAACTTACTACGCAATACAACTGAAATTTTAGAAAGCTCCTAGGACTAGTCCTACTCTCGCATAATTACAGTTTTTTTTTTCAATTTAGAAGTTTGATAATGGTGCTTTATTTGTTGCACTGTCATACATGTAAAAATTAACATACTGTATCGAGCTCAGATAACAGAACAAAACGCAGATGGAGCGCACGGTACACAGATTGCGTGCCACCAAAGCAAATATTAAGTCAAAATTAAGACTTTTAGATGTGAACAGTTTTTTCAATGTATGAACAAGGCGGCACAGTTTTGATAGATTTAATATTCACGGGACATAATGACAACACGATGTGTTGTAGTCGCTGTTGACTTGATATTTGCTTTGGTAGCACGCAATCTGTTTACCGTGCGCTCTATCTAATAGGGATGATGACTAATTTTTTTCCCTCGTTTATCAGGTAGATTATGAAAAAGTATTGGACACGTATTTTTTCTTTTTTCACATAATATAAACATTGCAGAGATATATTGATTTGAAAAGTCGCATGACGTCACGATTGAGTACACTTATAAGTGAAAATTCACTCAAAAGTGTCGTCACGAGCCCCTACTCCCAAACTATGACGCGCTATAACTTTGTCATTTTTTAGTTGATTGCCCAAAGAGAAAAAATAAGCGTCCATTAATTTTTGATCATCTAACTGATGGACTAAGTAGAATTTCATTTACTGTACCCCGTCATCACCCCTATTCTGTTAGCGGAGGTATCGAGGTAGTGGTTTTAAGTTCAAGTAACTTTCAGTTCTTGATACCATCATCATTTCTTTGTGTAAAGTGTTGGATTTGCTGATTTGTATCAATGACACATCATACAGTGGGTGATATAAATACCATACCTTACTTATTGCCTGTTGTGCAAATTCTTCTGTCAATTATTTCATACACAAGACCTCTTCAGACTAAAGAACTCGTTAAAAATTTACTAAGCAGTTTTCAACTTTAGTGGTTGGTACTGCTGGATTTAGGGGAGGGCAACCGGGGCGAAAGCCCCGGGGCCTCCACAAACAGGGGCCCCCACAATAGAGACTTCGGAAAAAAAATCTTTCAAATTCCAACTAGTAAACATCTTTTCCTTTGATTTTTTTTTTGCTCTTTTACCTTTACCCAGGGCCGAATTTAAGGCAGGGCAGGTGTGGCTGTGGCCCAGGAGCCTCCACAAGAGCTTAAGAAATAACAACATTTCGATGGGTCAATAAGCATACAAATCCTAAGTGGCCCGGGGCCTCCACAATCCTAAATCCTGCCCTGGTGGTTGGGTAACAAGTTCAAAATTTTTGAACTTTCTGCTGTGCTGTTCTCGTTATTAGGTAAACTAATGACCAAAAGATAAAGCTTAGCTAATACGGGTAGAGATGAAATAAAACACACAGTATGTTACAAAAAGTACGTCTCTATTACAGAGGGTATAGCGCAGTAGCCGCCATTGATGCGTTGCGTACCATCTACTTTGCGGTTCTTCCCCTAACAATTTACAGGGTACAATGCTACGCAGGCGAACCAACAATCCCCATGTGTGTCAGCATACATTGTCCGCTCTTGGTGCGTTTTAATCAAAAGACGCTGTGTAAAGTCAGCAATGGTTTCTGATCGACCACATGATTGGTTTGCCCGCGCAGCACTAATACTGCTGACATTATTACTGCTCTCTGTTATGTTGAAAACCAAAAGTGCTTATAAGGTAATCTCTACATGATGACTATACAAATTGTATTGCGGTCTGTATCGTGCTTAGAACGCATCACTATACAATATTACAGCCATGTAAAATAGTGAATCGGATTTTTTTATTAACTTTAATAAAGCTCATTTTTATTATTTATAAGGTATTGTGTTTCCTTTAGAAGGAAGCGGACGCCAGTACCAGACACACAACGCCAATGGCGATTACTGATTCATACATTGATCATTATTAAGAAAAACATATTAATCAACAAATTTCTAGACCCCAACTCGGACAGACAATAATAAAATTAATATTTTGCGTCAAACTAAAATATGTTTAATAAATTTATTAATATATGTCTGTTAACTTACCGTTCAGCTTGGGGTTAGAAAATTGTTCACAGAGGTCGTTACAAGTTACAAGGCGGGCCGGCTAGG